ACACACACACACACACACACACACACACACACACACACACACACACGGCAGGTCAGTGCATGCCACAGCCAAGGAAGGTCAGTTGCTTTCTATCCATTCCCCAATTCAGCCCTTGGCCCAACTGAAGTTTCCACCATGCCCAGATTCCACAAACATGTGTGGGTTCTAAGAGTCAAACGTGGGTCCTCACACTTGCACAAGCACTTAGTGAGCAAGCCACCTCCCCAGACCTTCATGATTTGGTTTTGTTTTTCAAGACAGGCTTTCTCTGTGTAGCCCTGGCTGTCCTGGATCTCACTCTGTAGAGCAGGCTGGCCTCTGCCTCCCTAGTGCTGCGAATAAGGGCGTGTGCCACCACTGCCCAGATTATTTTTCAGTTTTTTTTTTTGTTGTTGTTGTTGTTTTTGTTTTTGAGACAAGACTTCTGTGTAGCCCTCGCTGTTCTTGGAATTCACTCTGTAGACCAGGCTGGCCTCGAACTCACAGAGCTCCACATGCCTCTGCCTCCCGAGCGCTGGGATTAAAGGCGTGCGCTGCCACCACTGCCCAGCTTCTTTTTCAGTTTTTAGGACGGGCTCCTGTGGCTGAGCTGGCTCACCCGGCTTGTTGAGAAGGCACCGCACTTCATACTCCACGTCGGCCTGGCGCTGCTCCAAGTCCTGCTGCCTGACACTAACGGGTGGGAAGAGGAGGAAGTCAACACTTCTTCGAGGAGCACCCCACCCACACCGTGCCATCATGGCGGAGGGTGCAATTCCCAGGTCTCCGCAGACCCCGGCAGGGGAGCGGGCGGGGCAGGCAGGACTCACACGTAGTTGAGCTCTGACTCTTGACGCAATAGTAGGTGCTTCTCGTGGATGAGCTTGAACCAGTCCACCAGGATGTCGTCCTCGCTGCCCTCTGGAAGCCAGATCCCCACTGAGGCCAGAGCCGGCACCCCTCCCAGCTCAGCACCCCCGGGCGGAGGGGCTCCCACCAACCCCCAGCCCCCATCCAGCTCCTCTCCGCAGCCCCCACACCATTTGCTCCTCCACGCAGCTTGTCCTCCAGCAGAATGCCACGGTACTCCAGGGCATCCAGCTGGCGCTCGATATTGTCCATCATGGTGTTGATGTCCTCCAAAGGGATATACTGGTCAGCCTGGACCTGCCCAACAATACTCTGGTCACCTAAAGAGCAGTGGCCCCTCCCCTGCACCTGCTCCCCTCCAACTCACAGTGTCCCCTGGCCACTCCAGCCTCTAGGAACCCAGGTCCTGTCCCACAAGGATGGCATGACAAGAAAGCAGCATCCGTGTGGGGAAAGGGCCAGGCGGGCCGGTCACGAACCCTCCCGACCGAGGGCCTGACAGACTCCCAGTGAGAGGTCCAAGTTCCTGTCCAGAGGGAAGCCTCTTCCTCCTCTGTCACTCAATTCTTTGTGGGACAGTGAGCTAGTGTAACAGTTACAGAGCACCCTGGGGGCACCCTCCTGAGAAGCACAGCTTTCTCCCAGCACTCACTCTCTGCCCTTGAACTACTGTTAGAAACAAACATCCCACTCACTGCTCCTGGCTACTCTCAGGAACTCTAGGTTAAGCCCAACCTTCCAATAGCGCCACCCATAGGTCCCAGATGCTTAAGGCTGCCGAGGGAAGGGTGTCGGGCCCATGCCAGCTGCGCCTTAGGGTCTCTCTGCCGGCACCTTGCGTTTGATGAGTGGAAAGCCATGTCCGGGGGCAGGTGGCCTCATGGGCTTGGCTCCTTTGGTGGCCTTCCTTACGGCTGGAGATGCAGAGGGAGATGGCTTCCGGTTGAAAGGATTCTCCTTGCAGGAAGACTGAAGGCAGAGACATGACAGATGGTGTTAAGTCTGAGAAGTCTGATCATACAGGAATACGGGAAGCAGGCCAGGACCCAAGCGGCAGGAGGAGGAGGGCCCAGGCAAGAACAGAATCCCCTGAAGTTCCATCTTTGCACACTCATTCAGAAAATGGTTCCATTTCCAGAGGGCTTCCCCAGTCTCAGTTCCCACACCTTACACATTTTCTGCTCAAGGGCATGGCTGGGTGAGAAGTTTCTGTCTGAGCCCAGTGTGCTAGTGCACCTTTAATCCCAGCACTCAGGAGGCAAGGGCAGAGAGATCACTGTGAGTTTGAGGACAGCCTGGTTTACACAGTGATTTGCAAGCAGCCAGGGTTATATAGTGAGACCTTGCCTCAAAAAAAAAAAAAAAAAAAAAAAAAAAAAAAAAAAGCCGGGCGTTGGTGGCTCACACCTTTAATCCCAGCACTCGGGAGGCAGAGCCAGGCAGATCTCTGTGAGTTCGAGGCCGGCCTGGTCTCCAAAGCAAGTTCCAGGAAAGGCGCAAAGCTACACAGAGAAACTCTGTCTGGAAAAAACAAAAAAAAAAAAAGGTAGGAAAGGGGGTCAGTTAAAGGGTCAAAGGGCTGAGCAGGTGAGCAGGAGACTAGAGGATGGGGAATTAAAATAGTCAGAATGCATTTTATATGTGTTTGATCGTGTTCACAACACAAAACTAAACAAAGTTTAAAAAACAAAACCCGAGTGCTTGCCCAACACGCGCAAAGCCTTGGGCTCTAGCCCTGGCACCACCTGCACACAGAAGTCTCACCTACTGCATGCCCACGCACAGCTGAGCTCCTGCAGAGAGGCCAACCCCCCAGCTCCAGGCCACCCACTCCCAGGGGCCCAGGAGTATCCACCCCGCGGGGGCAGTGGTCAGGCTGTGAGGTCAAGGACCCCCCCCCCCCCAGGCCTGACTGCACAGTTCCAGTCTTCACAGGCACGCTTTCTCCAGGGAAGACTCAAAGGCTCCGAGAGGCACAGCTCCCCACCTAGGGTCACCCAGCCGGGCAACGCAACATCAGGATTCCCACTTTCCCTCTAGCTAACAGATGAGAGGCCATTCTCCCCTCCCTCGCCTCTCCTGCCCACCACGGACACACTCCCATCCTGGCTCTGCATCTTTCTGTTTCTCCAGAGACCCCTGGCCCCGGAGACTGCTCCCCCCACCCCCCCACCCCCGCCCGACAGTGCCCCTCAGTTTATGGAAAGCAGGTATCACGCCTGAGGCCTCAGCTTCCCTGTCCTGGCGGGGCAGGCCTTGCTCTCATCCAGTCAAGCTCCAAGCTGCACACAGATTCTCTGAAGCAGCCGAAAAAGTGCCCATGCCAGGGCTGGACACGGCCAGACTAGCATTTGGCTTCATTAGACAGTGTGGCCACCCACGACCTGTTTCCTTCTCCAGCTGCCTCTGACATTCTCTCCTAATCCCAGAGGAGAGCGGAACTGGATCCACTACAAAGACCCTGGGATTCCGCGCTCTCTCTCTGTTCAACACCTAGAGGACTCCAGGAAAGCCCAAGGCCTGTGAGCCCTTCCAGGCTTTTTAAGGCACAGAACATTCTCCAATCAGTCTCCACACAGCCCATGCTTTCACTGCAAATGGAGATGGGCAGGCTGCAGCGACGGCTTAGTGGTTAAGAGCACAGACTGCTCTTCCAGAAGTCCATAGTCAGGGTCCCAGCACCCACATCAGGTGGCCACCAGACCCCTGTAACTCCAACTCTAAGGGCTCTCACACACCCTCTGCTGGCTACCATAGGCACTGCACTCACATGCACAAACCCATACACAGACACACATAATTTAAAATAAAGAAAAACTAGAATGTATAAATAAGAGACCGGGGAGGGTGCTTTAAGCTCCCCAAGCCCGTCACCTGCCACCACCCCACCAAGATGCCCAGAGGCTCTTCAGAACCATCTGGAAACTTGGCGTTACTGGGTAGCTTGCTGTCAAAGCATGCATTCTCAGCGTCACACAGCAGCCAGCAGAGCTGGAAGTACCACACTTACATGAGTAGCTGTGGCCAGATGCCCGGAGAGAGGCCCAGCTAGACCCTCCTCCTCATGCCCACTTTACCTCTGAGAGAAGACAAAGAGCCTAGCAAGGGTCTAGGGTTGGGCCTGGTCTGTCCTCCATAAGCATCCCCCATAACCCATAAAAGAGGAACCCAGAAGGGTGTGCGTCCTGGGTCCTTAAGCCTGATGGGTGCCAACCTTGGCTCCTACAAACCGGTGTGGCTTCCTATGGGAGTCATTTCAGAACCTGCTGACCAGACAACGGGCCACCCAAGAACAGAAACCACTAGGCCTGTGTGACCTCGGGACTCCAGGCATCCCACGTACACAGGTGGTCAGCAGGGGCCTGCTGCCTCACAACTTCTTGGCCAGAGCTGCAGTCTCTAGGGAAGGAGTCAGTCATCTTTCCTCTGCAGGCTTCATTCCAGATTGCATTCTAGAACAATCCTATGCCTGTCTCCCCACATAGACTGGACACACACCCCCTCCCCCTGTCGAGGGCAAACACAGGATCTTAATGAATATGCCCAAGGCCTGGCATCAGTGAAGCCAGTGGGTGGAGGGGTGGACGAGGTGTGGGTGAAGGGCAGAGGGGTGGACAGATGCCACTGTGTCAGCAAACAGGCTGGTGAGCAGACAGACCCGGGAGGGCTGGAGAAACACGCAGATCACTGAGTGCCTCACACGGGTGGCGGCGGGCGCGACCACTCAAGCAGCCAGAAGACAGGCGCTCTTGCCCCAAGAGGAGCCGCACAGGCACCCAGGGAGCACTCACCTTGACCTGCAGCTGTGGGGATGAGCTCCCCGGGGAAGGGGCGGGGCTCCGGTCTCCAGCCAACCGGAAGGGAGTCGGGGTGGCGCCACTGCAGGGCTTGGTGGCCTGGGTACCTGGGCTGCCCCTGGTCCTGGCCTGTGGCACTTGTTCACCAGCAGGCTGTCCCAGCTCCCCAGAGGACGACAGGGAAGAGTGGGCTGAGGGGGCGGCGGAGTTCCCGGATGTGCCAGGGGCACCAGGCACGTGCACCGCGGGATCTGAGGAGCTCTTGGGTACAGCAGGCGCCTCCGAGGGCCCTGCTTTGGCAGCCGGGCTGGAGCTCTCGGAGGACAGGCTCTCCACGCTGAGGGCCGGTGACGGCGTGGCTGAGGGAGGTTCCGAGTGGGACAGGCGGGCGGCGTGGAGAACTGGGGAAGCAGAGGACAGTCACGTTCCAGTGGGGGGACAGGACTTCTGTCCTCCCCCAACACATCCTGCTCCCAGAGCCGGGCGGGGGGGTGGGTAGCCCTGGACACCAAGCTTTCTCCATTTGGATGGGCAAGAGGCCAGAGAACACTAAACCCAAGCCAGGACCCACATCACAAAGGCCCTGGGCCACCAGACCCCCATCTTGGACCTGTGATGCTCTAGTGTGCCACCTTGTGGCACACTCTATGGCCCTAACTTCTTACCCAGAAGACAGCTGCCTTCCACTTCCCCATATCCCCCATGATCCTCCCACACGCAAGCCCTCTCCAAAGGCAAGCTGCTGGGGCAGGTGGGGTCTCCGGGACAGGGAAGGCAGGGGAAGGCAGGCTGGCCTCGGCCTCCCGTACACAGACGGGAACGGGAGCCACAGCAGAGGGTGGGGGCAGCCGTTAGGCTGCCGTCGGGGCTGGGCCAGGCACTGCCAGGCACAGCTGCGCCCTTCGGCAGATGACATGGACCGCGCCTCCACAGCCATCATCCTGCTTCCCGGATGAAGCCGCAGACTCAGGAAAGGAGCCTCCCCAGCTAGGGTCACCCTTAGACACAGCTTTGTCCAGCTGTAGAGCTCATGTCCCCGTCACCCCAAGCCCACCCAGCAAGGGGACCCAGGGCACAGGCCACCAGAGCATTTGCCTGTCACTGCTCCTAGCAGGTGCCTGGTCCCACAGAGCTCTCCATCACACCCCGAGGAGTGGGAAGGGGACCCAGAGCTGAAGACCAATCTGAGGTACAACCAAAACACACAGCGTGCTGGGCTGAAGGGACTGCAGGGGGAGGAGAGGCGCGGCCGCTGGAGCTCACACACACACACACACACACACACACACACACACACACACACCCCGTCTCATACATGAGGAGACGAAGGCCGGCTCAGGGAAGGACCAAGCTCTCCAGAGCCAGGTGGGAGCCAAGCTGCCCAGTGGCTGGGGAGACAGACAGGGAGGCAGGGTTCAAGTGACCTCCTGCCTCACGCCTGTCAGAAGCCCCGTGTGGAGCTGTGCCCTGCACCTTCCCCGACCCCCTCACTGAATGAGCATGAACAGAGAGTGTTAAAAGCTGGGGCTCCAATTCTGCGCTGTGGAGAGCCTCCCCCTGGGAAGTGGCAATAAGCCACCCCTCCCAGGAAATGGGAGATCATGCACCCTCAGAGTACGAAAGCATGAAGAAGCTCCCTGCACCCCGAGACCCAGCACTCACCAAGCGGGGAGGCACTGGGGGCTCTCGGGGCAGGGCGCTTCTTTGTCTTGGGGCTGCTGGTGGAGGTGATGCCGTACCAGGGGTGCAGGGACTTGGGTGTGGACTCTGGCGGGGCGGGGGCGGGGCTTGGCCCTGCAGAGGCTGGCTCTTCTCCCTCCTCATCCTCCTCAAAGGGGTTGTAGGGCTTGGGCTCTGGCCCAGCGACTGGGCTCTTCTGGGTCCTTCCCTCCAGGCCTCCATTCTCCACCTGTCTGCCCGGCGGCCCAGGACTGCTGCTGCTGCTGCTGCCGCTGGGGGGTAGCGGGGCTGGCTTCTTCTTGGGCTCTGTCTGCACCAGTGTGATCCACGGGGGGTCCTTTCTTGGTGCTGGTGTCCTAGAGGGAGGCCACCACGGCGGGTCAGCCTTCTGCTCTTTAGGAAGTTCCGGTCTGTCCCAGAGGAGGGAGAAAAGCTGCTCCTCTGTTCTCCCAAGCCTAGCCTCGAGGTCAGACCAGGAACAAAGCTGGAATGGGTTCCGGCATTCACAGCCCAATAGGGCAGGCACCATGAAGCCCAGAGAAGACAGGCTTTCAATCGCACAGCTGCTGTCAATCCAGCCCCCCAAAAAGGGGCTGTGTGACATTTAATGGCGTCACCCACCTCTCTCTATGCCTCAGGCTCCATGGAGGCTTAACTAACATTCCGTGTCACAGGGTCCAGTGAGCTCTACATCCTGTCCCCGAGTGCGGCCACACACCAGGAGCTGCACAAACATTCACTAGTAGGGACACTGTGACCCGTTACCCCTCCCAAGGCGGCCATCCTGATGAGGACGGCTCTCCAAGAAGAGCTAGAACCATGTCCTCCCCAGATCGGGCGGAGGAGAGGCAGGCACACCAGCTGTGCTTTTCCAGACCATTCGGTGCTCTAGGAACAATGACCCCATGTCATGCAGGAAGAACTGGTTTGGGAGGCAAAGTGACTCTAGAGGTGGCTGTCCCTCTTGGAGCACAGGCCAGGCGGGGTGGGGTCACGGCTTTCCTTCCTCACTCAGAGAGGAGCCTCCCTGTGGGCCCTGGAAATCCTTTCCCCATCTGGGCCCTAATAAAGCCCTATCCCCCCACTGAGGCCTCCCGGGGGCCAGCGTACCTCTCTGACAGCTTGGGCGTCCCTCTGGGCCTGGGGACAGGGGGTTCCGGCAGTCTTCCTAGGCGTGAAAGGACAATGAACAGGCAGGCCTTCATGGGCTGCGGAGGGGCACCGAGAGCCAGCCACAAGGACTGTCCTTGTGCCCTGCCTAGCAGGTCACAGACGGGGGTGACCACAGCCCCTCCTTGCCCAGCCCTCAGGGAGATTAGATAAGGTAGGAGGTGAGTAGGAGAATGGTCAGTCAGAGGCTTCTGAGAGGCCCAACTGCATGTTAGCTGCAAAGCCCCAACCCAAATCCCCTCAGTCACTTACTCTATACCAGGGTATCTACCCAGGTGCCACCTCCACCTGGAAGCCTCCCTTGACTCCAACTATCTGAACCCCACAGCCTCGGCTTCCTTCCATCCAGCCCGGCAATGTGTCTACACAGCACCATATCACTTACAGCTACCTCTGCCCGGCACCCTTGCACTTGTTCCCCCAAGAAGACACAAGAAGGTCCAAACATTATCTGTGCCCCTGGTACCCCATCCTAAGCCAGCCTCCAGGAATGCTGAGCAGCAGATTCAAACACACAGAGTGTTCTGGCACCAATCCCCGGATGCTCTCTCCCTTGGGCCTTCCCTGCCTTCCCTGACCGAACGGTAAGGGATGCTCGGCATAGCTCAGGTTCCCATGAGCTCCCGGCACACATGGAAGTCATCCAAGAATAGACCGCAGGCAGCAGACAGCAGGCCAGGGGTCCCCACTGTGGTTCCGATGCGTTCAGAGGCCCTGACCCCACTGGCCTCCCCAGGCCCCTTAGCTCTCCCTAGACAGATAACAAGTACACACGTGGGAGTGGGAAGTTACCTGGCACATAGCTGGGGATGAACCAGGACACGTAGGAATGACACCAACAGGCACAGTCCCAGAGACACTCGGGACACATCTATGTACACTTGCTACATTCCAAACCACGAGACAGAAACAAGACGCACACACGGGACACACACACACACAAGGGACACGGTAGGGCCGAGGTTTGAGCTGTGCCAGTCTGGAGAACAACATGGCATGCAGGCCCAGGTGACTGGCACACGCACAGGTGACATCACAGAGCACACACAGGTGCCAGCTCAGAAAGCAGTTCACAGGGCTGCTGCAGAGACGCCTCAGCAGATAAGAGCACACTGCTGCTCTTCCAGAGGACCTGAGTTTGGTTCCCAACACCCAGATGTGGTGGCTCACAACCGTCTGTAACTCCAGCTCTGAGGGACCCTATGCCCTCTTCTGGACTTCGGACTTTATGGGCACCTACAGTCACATGCACACACTATAATTTGAACTACATCTTGAAAAAAAAGAAAGAAAGAAAGCCGATACTATTCCTGGAACACGAGGCTATCGACAGGCCCACAGGAGGGAAGACACGCAGCCAGCATGCCCCGTCCAGCTGTGCCCCGTCCAGCTGTGCCCTCACTCACCATTCACAAGGCCAGTGCTGACACTCGGCTCCACCAAGCCATCCTGCTGCAGGCTAGACCGCGGCCGTGGTGTTGGGGGCGTCAAGGCTGAGCTCTCAGAAGCCTTCCTGGGGGCAGGTGTAGGCCGGCCAACAGGGGGGCTGGCCAACTCCTGGGGCTTGCTGGGAAGAGGTGGCTTGCTCTGGGTCTGGGGCGGTACCTCGGAGCTGGCCTGGAGCCCATCTCCCTCGGCGGCGGCGGCGACCGCAGCCACACTTGGGCTAAGGTCGCTCTCCTCTCCATCCTTGGCTTCTTCTGCTACCTGCTGCTGCTCTCGCTGGGAGAAGGGCCTAGCTCCGGACCGGCCTCCCGGACCCAGCCTGGCACAGCGTTTTGCACACACGAAGGTGCCTTCCTCGGGCCCGCTGCTGTAAGAGCCTGGGAGCAGCGTGCTGGAACATTGCCGGCATCTGCAAGGGCAGGGCGGGGATTCCCTTAGCGGGGCACGTCGGCCAGGCCCTGGGTAAGCCCCCCATCGGAGACCAGAGTGACCCCTCACCCCCTCCTTCAACTGCCAGGCCCACCCTGGCTCGACACCCTGGACTTTCCAGAAGAAAAAAGAACATGGCAAGGGTCAGAATCAGAGGGGAACAGTAAGCCACAGCCAATTAGAGCCAGGAATTGTGAAACACACTCTGCTGCAAGGGGAAGAGTTGAAAGTGTCCCGGGGTTTGCCCCAGGGGAAGACCAGTGCCTCGGGAAATCAATGTGGCTCCCTACCTACCAGGTTTGCTTTAAGTTTTTGTTTCACTTTGCTTTTCAGGGCTGGGAACCAAAGCCAGAGCCTCAAAAAATGCTCAACACTGTGTGCTACCCTTAGGCCGCAGCCCAGGGTCATGGGTTTGGGGGTGGAACCGAGAGCCTTTGAACACTGGATAAACACTCCACCACTGAGTCACTCCCCACCCCCCACCCCACCTCCCACCTCAGGCTGGCCTGCTCTTAATGAACTAGAATAAAATAGACCAGAGTGACTCCTGGGAGGCTGAACGCAGCTTGCAGGAGGCTCTCGTACAGGCCATGCGGCTACTGACGTCGGTATCATGCCATGTATGTATGCCTAGTAATATCAAATGTGTGTTTAGGGGATTTACTTTTTAAGATGTATTTATTTATGTGTTGGACTGTTTTACCTACATGTAGATCTATGTACCACATGTATGCCTGCTGCCAAAGGAGGCCAGAAGAAGGCATCAGATCCCCTAGAACTAGATTACAGAAGACTGAGAGGGGCCATGTAGGCGCAGGGAGGCGAACTTGGGACCGCAGCAAGAGCAGCCACACTACGCTTCAGCCTCTCAGATGGACTCTTTAAAAAAAAGGTGCACCCCACAGGGTAGATGAATAAATATAGATGAATAAATAAATAGATAAATCAATCAATCAAAAAAGCAAAGGAAACCCTGGCTTCCTCAGGTTGGGAGGACAGCTCAGTGGTAGAACACCAGCCAAGCAAGCACAAGACTGGGTTCAGCCCCAGCACCACAAAACCAGACAGACAACTTGGCATTCCCAGGAAGTCACACTGAAATGTACGAAAATTCGGTTTCCACTGAGCTCCAAAGACGAGTGGGGGCTGGGCACAAAGCTGGGTGGTGGGATGCTTGCCCTGCATATGCCTGGGCCTGGGCCCAAGCCTCGGCACCTCAGCCAAGAAGACCTGCGGCTGGAGAGATGGCTTAGCATGTGAGAACGAACACCTGCTGCTCTTTGAGAGGACCCGAGTTCGGTTCTCAGCACACACGTCAGGCGGCTCACGAGTGCCTGTAACTGCAGCTGGCTTCCAAGGGCATCCCCATGCACATGGCATCCGCAGTCATATACTCATACGTGAAAATAAAAGAACGGGAACGGGAGGGAATCCTGTGACCGAGTGGGTCTTTTTCTCCTACGCCACAGACTGTTCCTCTGTAAAGTGAGGATAAGCTCAGTGCTTGGCATGAACAGCCCAGTGGGTGTGAACGGCCCAGTGGGTGTGAACAACGGTACAGTGGGTGTGAACAGCCCAGTGCGTGTGAAGGGCACAGTGGGTGCTGACCCCCAAGGGCGCCCCCTCCCAGGTGCCGGGAGACACGCCCTGCCCTCCAGCACTCACCGGAAGCAGTGCCGGTGGTACAGCTTGCCCTCGGCCAAGTACCGCTGCACCAGGTGCACCCGCTGCCCACAGGCTGCGCAGGTGCTGCTGGGGGGCCGCTGTCTGCCCTGCTCCGACAGGCTGTCTGAGGAGAGGTCATCACCCTGCAGGAAAACGGGGCACAGTTACCATCCACGCTGCTCCTGGGTCATTCCCTTCCCGTCCCGTCTCAGCTATGTCCCTCAAGGGTGCACCAAGCTCCATGGTGCTAACACATCAAGATCTGAGTCCTAGGAGAGGCAGAGGACAGGAGACATCGTCGCCTTCTCCCACACGAGGAAGCCGGAGCCCAGAGAGGGGCAACTTTCTCTGCCAAGCCAGTATGGAAACAGATCCAGACTTCCAGCTCCCAAGGAAGGGGCTCCTGGTTGTACAGTCTTTCCTGGTGGCTGCTCCAGCCAACCTTCCTTTCCTCCGGGTGGCCCTGGCTCTCCAGCAACTAACTCGCTGATGCCAGCCCACTTAGGCTGTCTGGGCACCCACTCTGGGCCTGCTTCTCTCTAAAGCTCATGAAAAGCTGATGCCCTTTGCAAAGGGGACTGACAAGGTGCCCCCCCCCCCCACTTTTCTACTGAGTAACTTTGGACAAAGGACTGAACCTCACTGAGTCATTGTTTCCTGTCTGGACAACAGGGCCTGAGAGATTCCGCCGTGGAGGGGCCTCAGTGAAATCACCCTGAGGGGTTCCAAACTCGGACTCCACGGAGTCAAAGGGAATATTCGCGTCACTGTGCATCACTGTGTGTGGAGCTCCTGACAGTCCCATGATGGACAGCATGTGGCCTGCCCACTCAGTCACAGTAACGAACGTGACTCACTCAACCTCTGGAGAAAACATCCAGGCTCCCTGCTACAAAACGGGGCTGGGGGGCTGAGACCCTAGCGGGACAAGAGCAGAGGACGCCCTCTGAACACGGCCATGGCTGACTTCCTCCGGCAACAGTCACTGTCCCGACAGCTGGGCCCCTAGCCTACTCTTGCACCCAAGGGTCTGCCTACCTGAGCCTCCTCTCCGGGTGGCACAGCAGGTGATGCAGATGTGGGGGAGGGGGATGCAGGGTCCTTTCCTGGTGTGGAGTGTGGTGAGACAGCTGCTACAAGACAGGAAAAAGCCAGGCGGTGGTGGCGCACGCCTTTAATCCCAGCACTCGGGAGGCAGAGGCAGGCAGATCTCTGTGAGTTCGAGGCCAGCCTGGTCTACAGAGCGAGTTCCAGGAAAGGCGCAAAGCTACACAGAGAAACCCTGTCTCGAAAAACAAACAAACAAAAAAAGACAGGAAAGACCCTGAGGCAGGTACAGAACCTGGAGCCCCGGGAGGTGCCAGCCCACCCAAAGCTCTACCGCCACCACCTCCAGGCAGGACACTGGGCTGCAGCTGTACTCCGTGTAACGGAGAGCAAGAAACACGTCCACTTTCAAGCCAGGTGCGAGGGGCAGGCCACTCAGTCGGCCTTGCTGAGCCTCCGTCCATCCGTCACAGGGAGCCAGTGATCGACACTGGACAGGACTGCCTGCCATACGCATGGCTGCAGCAGGCCGGGTCCCAGCTCCTTCCCATTCAGGCAGAGGGATGACGCCTGAGCGAAGGCTCAGGGAGGTGGCCTACTCCCTGAGGTCTCAGAGGAAACTCCACACACATACCAGGGCTTCCCTCAGACCATCTATCTCCCTCTTCCACCAGCTAGTGTCAAGGTGAGAACCTCGTCTGCACCCAAGGAACAAAACAAAACCCAAGCTCTAACTTCTCTAGAACTGTGCACCACAAAACAGTCCCTAATTTAACCAGTCAAGTATCCAGACAGCTCATCCATAGAGCGCTTGACTAGCATGATCAAGGCTCTGAGTTCAATCCCCAACACTGAGAAGAAACAAACAAGGTATGCACAGGTGTGTATGTGTGGGGCACACCTGTAATCCCCGTATCTGGGACGCTACGACCAGAGGATTGTGAATTCTGAGCTAGTCTGGGCTAAAAAGCAAGACGCTGTCTCAAAATTAATTTATTAATTAGTTAATTAAATAAAGGGCCAGCGAGATGGTGCAGCAGGCTGATGATTTGAGCTCAATCTCTGGAACCCACATGGTGGATGGACAGTATGTGTGCACACAGACAAACTAAATAAATAAATGTGAATTTTTTATTTTATTTTATTTTTGTGGGGGAAGTTTCAAGACAGGGTTTCTTTGTGTAGCCCTGGCTATCCTGAAACTAGCTCTGTAGACCAGGCTGGCCTCGAACTCACAGAGATCCATTTGCATCTGCCTCCCACATGCTGAGATTAAAAGTATGTGCCACCACTGCCAGCTTAAAAAAAAAAAATGGCTCTTAAAGAGGACCTGGCTTGACCTTTGTCGGCACCCACATGGCATCTCACACACACCTGTAACTCCAGTTCCAGGGGATCCAACGCCTCCGTTCTCCTACAGAATATTACACACACATGTTGCACAGAGATATGCTCAGGCACACACACACCACACACACACCCCAAATATTTATAATAATAATAATACAATTTAATTAAATAAAAGTTCCTTGCAGAGGTCTACAATAACGTTCAGCAAGCCTCTAGTCCCAGGCCTTAAAGACACCCTTCAGGGATGAAGCAGGTGAGTGACAGCGGATCTAAACAATGGCACAGGGGAGGAACATCTATCTATCCGCTCAATGCAAAGGCCATCGTGTCAGATGGGAAAGGACTGATTCCTAAAGCTTGTGTCATTTACACACACGTGTGAACTTGGCAGTGTGACAGGGAATCCATCTCTTTTTCTGTTTTGTTGTATTTTATTAAGACAGGGTCTCACTATGTGACCCTGGTTGCCGTGGAACTACATAGACCAGGCTGGCCTCACACTCAGAGATCCTCCTGCCTCTGCAGCCCTAGCACTGGGATTACAGGTGTGCACCACCATGCCTGACTGGAATGCATGTCTTAGTGTGAGTCACAGTGAAAAAGTTTGGAAACTCGGCAGCCTAGGCAAGTCCCTGGGGAATTCCCTTGGACGGCTCCTGTCCTCTTCCTCCTGGGTCCCCAGCAGCACAGGACCCCAGGCTGCTCTGGCCTGCCACACCCCTCCCCACACCTTCACAGCTGTCTGGGCTGTCTCCTGCTCGCTTCAAATATCACCTCCAAGGCCCTCTGAGGCCATGCATTAAAGTGGCCACTCCCTGCTCACCCCAGGGAGCTCTGCCCATCGCTCAGCTCCTAAGAAATGAACTGTTGCATGCTTTCTTTCCCTTCCTACAGCGTCACACAACACGCTCCCTGAGACTCTTTCCCCAGCAGCCAACATTGCCTGGCACACAGCAAGGCCTCTGAAAGTACTTGCTAAAGGCATGAGAAGTTCCAGGTGCGGGGGCAAGAGGGCTGTGCAGGCAGTGAGGGTCTGCAGAGGAAGGAGAGGACTGGGACGTCACGGGGGCTGGGCAGGGCTCAGGGCTAGGTGCCTGTTTAGAACGTGGAAAGCACTGGGTGGTACATACTTAAGTATATTCTGTGTGTTCTCCAGGAGAAAGGGACAGTGGCTACTGTCCAGATGAGAGGCCAAGCAGGAAAGAACTGGACACACACACACACACACACACACACACACACACACACACACACACACACACTTTCCACTTGCCCAGAAAGTACAATACAGGACCATCTAGGGGAGGGAACACAGGGTTGGAACACATCACAGCGGTGGCGGATGGGATAAAAATGGTTTGTGTCTAGGGGCCAACTGATATAAAAGATATAAACTTTATCAATGAAACCCCACAGGACACCCCCACCTGGCAGGCAGGCCTAGGAAGTGACTTCCGGGAAGGACTTAAGCAATACGTGATTGGTTACAAAGAGACTGGGAAATAAAGTGAGCATGACAATACGTATCTGTAACTCTCGACTAGAAGGCGAGGAAGAAGCAGCCTGAGTTTCAGGCTAGCCTGGGCTACATGAAGAGACCATCTGAAAGGGATGGGAGGAGGGGGAAGGACAGAGTAGAGCAGTGCAGGCTGGGAAACAGGAGGACTTGTGATCAGGGCCACACAGTCCACTCATGGACCCTGACCAGTATGCAAGCGACACTCGATCAACGGTACAGACTCACGTGCCCTTCTCCTACGGCGGGCTAGCACCCAGTACCACCATCAGAACTAGAAAACACCCTCAGGTCGAAGCTCATCTTTTCTGAATCAACACACAGCGCCCTGTAGATGTTAGTCATTTCCCAGACTGCGAAAGTCACAGTCCCGAAACCGCACCACCCAAGCTGGGGACACGTGAGTAACAAACAAGCGTCCTGAGTCCTAAACCAGAGAGGGCAAACATGCTCTGCACACACCCCTTTCACGCCTCAGAGCAACCCTGTGAGGTGGGCTCTATGCACAACCCTATCGCAAACAGGAGACCAAAGGGGGGTGTGTGTGTGTGTTAAGAAATGGACCCACGTTACTCGCAGACTGAAAAAGCAAAGGGAAAAGTCTGAGGCCACGTTCTTCTCTCTACTGAAGCTAGACTCCTTCCCACTAGTGGCTCTGGGGTCTTCCAATGCAGCTGCCCTTGGCATATGCAGATACCAAAGTTCCAGCATGCGCCTGCCAGCTACATGCATCCTCCATACAGTTTTTTTTTTTTTTTTTACCTAGTTTAAAATTGTAAGGTTTTCTTTTGCATTTGATTACGCGTGAATGTGTGTGTCTCAGTGTTGTTTTGTCCACCTGAGTGCAATGCCCACGAAGGCTAGATCCGCTGGAGCTAGTTACAGGCAGTTATGAGCTGCCAGGCACATAAATGCTGGGAACAGAACTCAGTCTTTTTTTTTTTTCAAAACAGGGTTTTTCTGTGTGGCCCTGACTGTCCTGGAACTCACTCTGTAGACCAGGCTGACTTGCTTCTGCCTCCCTAGTGCTGGGACTAAAGGTGTGCAAAACCACCACCCAGCTCTGAACTCAGTCTTTATTAATAATCGAACCATCTCTCAGCCCCTAATTTTTTTTTTTAACTACAATTTTATGTTTATTTACTTTGGGGATAGGGAGCTTGAAAGTGCCGTGGCGCACAAGCGGAGGTCAGGAGGCAAATTTCAGGAGTCCGTTCTTTCCTGCAACGGTGTAGACTCTAGGAACTGAACCCAGTCATCAGCCTTGGCAGCAAGGGCCAGCTCAAAAACTGACTTTATTTTTTCTTAAGACAAGATCTTACGTCTCCCAGGCTGTGTAGCGGGCAAGGACTTGGACCTTCTGGTCCTCCTGCCTCCCGTCTCCCAAATGCTGGGATTACAGGCGTGCGTCACCACCACTAGTCTACAAGGTGCTGGGACCTGAACCCAGCCAGGGCTTTATGCACGGTGTGCAAGCACTCTGCCAGGCTCTAGAACAGTATTTGTTGTTGGCTTTTTCTCTTCCATTTTTGTGAGACAAAGTCTCACATTGTAGCCCTGGCTGACCTAGAACTCCCTTTGCAGACCCGGCTGGCCTTCAACTCACAGAAATCAGCCTGCCTCTGCCTCCTAAGAGCTGGTATGGAAGGCATGCACAACCACACCCAGCATTTTTAAAAAACATTTTTTATTGTTATTTAATTATGTATGCATGCATGTCTGCTCATGCCTGATGCTTGCAGAGATCAGGAGAGCATCCACTCCCCTGGAACTAGGATTATAGACCGTTGTGAGCCTCTATGTAAGGTGCTGGGTCTTCTGAAAGAGCAGACAGTGCTCTTAACCACTGAGCCATCTCTCCAGCCCCACCCCACCCCATTTAAAGAGACAGACTGGATTCTCCCCACACAGAGCAGATGCAGTAAACACGGCCCACGTGGGCTACTCAGGACCTAGTGTCTGTAACTGCCCCGCGTAGGCCTGGGTTTGTTTAGCTTTTGTACTGTGTGCTCAAGTCCCTTGCTTCCCCTCTCTGGACTCACTTCCCCTATGCAGAAAGGAGCTGTCGGTCCCGGGACACTCAGCGACCTGACAGGGACCGAGAGGAAGCCTGTCCCTCCAGCATACACTCTTTGACAGTGTCTCTATTCTCAAGCAGGCTCTGCAAAAAAGCTGGGCTGCAACAGCCCCGAAGAAGAGAGCAGCGTGGCAGGAAGAGAAAGCCCTGGGAAGCGTCAGACAGGAAGTGCCAGACAGGAAGTGCAGTGGGTGAGGGGAGGTGAACTCCCAGCAGAGCTCACCTGGGCTTATGATTGCCTGCCCGCCACCCACCCCCAGCCCTGCCCCCACCCCAAACACACACACACACACACACACACACACACACACACACACACACACACACACACAAGGCAACGCAGGCAGGGTCTGGTTCTGTGGCCTTGGTTGGCCTCAAACTTGAGGTAATCCTCCTGCCTCAGCCTCCCAAGTACGGAGATGACAGGTGTGAGCACCTCACCCAAGCCAATGCTGTTTTAATGCAATATATGAACTAATGAATCTACTGTCAGTGAATAAATGATAGGCTGTTTGTTTCTGGTGATTTTTTTCCTTCTTTTTTTTGTTTTGTTTTGTTTTGTTGTTTTGAGACAGGGCTTCTCTGTGTAGCCCTGGCTGTCCTGGATCTCGCTCTGTAGCCCAGGCTGGCCTCCAACTCAGAGATCCCCCTGCCTCTGCCTCCCATTAGCGACATGCGCCACTGCCGCCTGGCCACCCTGGCTATTTCTTTACAGCTCAGAAAAGAAGTCGACAGCCCAGGGCGGCCCCCCTGAAGGGCGGGGTCCCCTCTCACCTTGGCCAGAACTGGTGAAATGGTTGTAGTACTGGGACACATAGGTCATGATGCTGAGACAGTCGGGGACACTCATGGAGACCATGTCACTGGGGTCCAGGAGAGCAGGGATCCCCAGTTCCTTTTCGGCCACGTCAAAGGCCTAGGGTGGAGGTGGGTACAAAGGTAGAGACAGGAGCCGCCACAGCGAGGAGGGGACAGAGACGGCAGAGTTAGTGACTACTTCCCACCCTGGGACCAGCTCACTATAAGGGGACGGGTGACGACAGTACCATCCCCACATGGTGGCCTGAAGGGCACCCACGGGAAGAGGTGAGAAGGGAGGAGAACCAGGGCCTCCTCTAGGACCTGCAGCAGCTCCCACTTCCAAATGCAGTGGCCCTCTGTGGCAGCAGCAGCAGCAGCAGCAGCAGCCGCCGCCGCCGCCGCCGCCGCCGCCGCCCTCTCCCACCACAGACACCCCTTTGTGCTCCCATCTGAGGACTCACCAAACGGTTATTCTCGAAGACATTTTCCTTGGAGAGAGACTGGAAGTCGCTGCAAGAGACAGGAGGACTGGGTCAAGAGAGGTGATGGGCGGGGTCAGGAAGGAGGGCGAAGAGGTGATCTGATCCTGACAGGACCAGCCTCGGCTCGGTAAGATTTGGGAGGGCGCCTACAGGTTCCTGAAGAGGAAACTGAGGCTGCAAGCTCTGACCGAGCGGTCACTGTCCTCTGGAAGCCGAGTGAGCCTATGTCCCCTCCAGCCAGGCTCCAAGCCAGGGATGGAGTTCCAACTCTTCCCCAGGAAGCCTTCTCCTCAGGCAGCGACAAAAAGGGCCAACTACGGATGCAGACTTGCAACCATGCAGACTTGCAACCATGCGGCCTTGCAATGTGGGCATTCCCATGCAGGGAAGCCCGAATTTGCCAGCAGCTCATCTGGCAGGTGCTCTCCCCGTTTTACAGAAGAGGATGGTGAGATTCGATCAGGGAAGCTAGCCAGCCCTGGGAAGCCACACTTTCGGAACTTCCACTGAATGCCACAAACACAAGCCACACCAAGCACAGGACCCAAAACCCAACTCCAGGAGGAATGGTCCCTTGTTTGTTTTTGCTTTGTTAAATTTGCATTATTTATTTTTTGTGTGTATGTGTGCGTAAGTATTTTCTTCTTTATTTAATATATGTCTGTTTTCCAGGATGTGTGGCTGTATCCCATGTGCCTGCCTGATGCCCAAGGAGGCCAGAAGAGCATCGGACTCCCTGGGACTAGAGTTAGTTACAGGCCGCCACATGGGTGCTGGGAATTGAACCCAGTTCCTCTGGAAGAGCAGCCAGTGCTCTTAACCACTGAGCAAACTCTTTAGTCCCTACATGTGTTTCTTTTATATATATATATATATATATATATATATATATATATATATATAAATAAATTTTTTTTATGTACATTGGTATTTCACCTGCAGGTATGTCTGTATGAGGGCATGGGATCTCCTGAAACATGAGTTACAGACAGTTGTGAGCTGCCATGTGGGTGCTGGGAACTGAACCCAGGTCCTCAGGAAGAGCAGCCAGAGCTCTGAACCACTGAGCCACCTCTCCAGCTCCCCCTACATGTGTTTCTTCATGGGGCCCAAACTAGAACAAGTTAGACCCAGAGTAGAAAGGAAGATAACCCAGAGCTGCTAGTACTCAACAGCTGGTCTGTCCCATCAGGCACTCCCGGGGACAGCTTCCTTAGAGGGACTTGTCACTTTCCTAGTAAAGGGCTTCCCCGGCTTCTGAAGTGGGGCAGGTACTGATGGCAGGCCCTCTCCGCTGGTGTGGGAAACATGGGTGCTTGTTGGCTTCGTCCATCTGTAGGCTAGTGGGCTGGAGCGTGAGCAGGTGGGGCACCTGTGGATCTGCTCTTTCGGGTAGGCTGTGTGACCGTGGGCAGGTCAGGAGCCCTATCTGCCTCCACTGCCCTGAAGACTCAGGAGAGCCTCGGCCCTTGCTCCCAGGCTGGAGTGAGGGCCAGCAGGATCTGAGAGTGACAGGGACCTCCTAGACACCGCAAAGTACACACACAAGCTTTGTCACTGCCGAACAGCGGCAAAGCTTCATCTGCCAGCTACTTAGTCTCCCTGTGCCTCAGTTTCCCGGTCTGTGACACAAAACACAACTAATGCCCAACACAGGGGATTCCAAAACCAACGACATAAGGGTAACCTGTCTGGACAGTTTGGCTTCCTCAGCAGTGTTCCCAGGAGGTGGGGCCATAGTTTGTCCCCACTGCTTCCCTAGGACCCTACACGGTTGCTGGTGTTCAGGAAGTGTTCTTGTCCAGTTTGTTGCAATAATGCACGATGAAAACTGTAAAACTGTGGTAACTGGGACTGGGAGGCGGCTCACTCGGGAAGCACGTGACACACTAGCATGATGACCTGAGTTCAACCCCAGCACCCATGTGAAACGCAGGTGTGGTGGCGCATGCTTGGGACCCCAGCACTGGTGAGGAAGAGTCAGGTGCATCCCTGAGGCCTGATGGCCAGACAGAGCCCAGCCTAATTAGCCAGCCCCCGGTCTCAGTGAGATCCAGTCTCAAAAAAAAAAAAAAAAAAAGTGGAATATCATCTGAGGTTGACCTCTAACCTACATTCACACATACCGAATAAATATGCACACATACATAAACGCACACAGTACTACTATTCTTTTCTCGGCTTCTTCCACGCCATCTCTGTGCCTAAATACCATCTGGGTTTGGGTCGCACAGATCTTTCTTTTCTGAGAATTTTCAAAGGCCGAGAGAGTTCCACTTGCCTCCAGAGGAAATAAACGCATGGAAACAATGCCACATGGGCCCTGGTCTCAAGGGAATCCAGAAAAAGCTGGAGGACAGAGAAGGGCATGGTCCAGTTCCTCACCAACACAGCAGGAACACCACACACACAGAGACACAGACACCACACACACACACACACACACACAGACACACACGCGCGCACGCACGCACGCACGCACCTGGCTGGCAGGGCCTGCACCGTCAGAGGCTAGAATCCTCACCCTACCTCTCCCCTTGTACAGCTCTGCCCCTAAGGGCTGAGGGAGCAGCGCTGGGGTTGAACGCTTATCTAGCATGCATATGGACTTGGATTCAACCCCTACCAAATAACTAAATGGAGGAGAGATAAACCTCCACCTTTCTCTGGGCTTTATGAAGAACCTGGCCTCAGTTTCTCTCCCAAGCAATTAGCACGGTTCAGGCCCAGCCTCCCTAGCAAATGATTGAGTCTAGACTTCTGCTTAGGAGGGAACACCCTTCACATCTGCTTCCTGGACATCTGAGTGACCCCAAGACCTTGAAAGTCCTCAGGTGGGGCCTTGGGGCCTTCTCTTGACCTTCGCCTTTTCCTCAGGACGTCTCCCCCCTGGAGGCTTTCCCTGGAGGAACCACTGTTAATCACCTCAAGTTCCACATGTCCACCAGTATGTAGGGTTTTTTTTTTGTTGTTGTTGTTGTTGTTGTTGTTGATTTTGTTTTTGGTTTTCGAGACAGGGTTTCTCTGTGTAGTCTTGACTGTCCTGGAACTCGCTCTGTAAACCAGGCTGATCTGGACCTCAGAGATCCACCTCTGCCTCCCCAAGTGCTAGGATTAAAAGCATGGGCCACCACGCCCAGCTAGTATGTAGGCTTTTGCCTTGTTGGCTGTGGTCTCTGCCAACCCCAGTGTGTGGGAGCAGTGACTATACACACTTGCTGATTGGATGAGGGGGTTAAGCACTCGCTCCCACCCCCACCCCCCACGGCCTAATAGCACCTCTTCCAGAGCTCAGTGTTAACTACATGTTTATTAACTCATTTAAAATCCTCACCACAGGGCTGTGAGGTAGGTCTTGTCATCAACCCCACCTTCCAGATGCCCAGAGAACCGGTGATTTTCCCCAGGGCTTAAACATTAGCACCAGGCACCCAGCATTTGGTGGGGAGGGGGCGGTTCTGCACTCCTGACGCCAGCCTCATCCCCTGCCTCAGGACTAGTCTCCAGCAAAAACAGAAGACCCCAGAGCCGCAGCTCCAAAGGAGGGGCCAAGCCCCCCCCTCTTCACCACTGCATGCCCAAGCTCCACTCCCCTGCTTCAGTTACCACTGGGTCCCACACTATACAACCTGGCTCCCTTCTGCATCCACACTCCCCCCAAAACCCTATCTTCCAGGGCCCCTCGGACACACAGTAAATCAAGTTAGAGTTGGGCAGTCCCTTCGGGGCCCTCCCACATCCAGTCCTATGGAAACAGGTCTGGGAGAGATCCAAAGAGACCCTGCAGGTTCTGAGAGCTGGGGGGAGGGGGAAACCTGGGGGGGGGGAGACCCTGGGGGGGGGGCTGTAAACAAGACAGACTCAGGACTCTTCTTCCAGAATTGCTACTGAAACGTGAATGAAGCGAAAGGAAGGCAGACACCAGATGAACGTCACTTTCAGTTTTACGAATAAATAAATCAGTGAACGACGGATAAGAGGTTCCAGGGCTCAGGGAAGAAAGCGGGGGGGGGGGGGGGGGTAGAAGCCCATACAGTTTCCCAGGAGACCCTACAGAGTAGCTTTCCAGCTGGAAGCTACAGATTGGTGGCTGTCAACTGTCCTAGAGTCGTCCCTCCACGCCTGGCTCCTTCTCTGCCCCACGGCTGTGCCACACTGGGAACGGCAGGGCCACGGGCATACACACCTAGTCAGATTCCCAGCTGAGGGGGTGTTGGGAAGTAGTGTACCCCAAGTCACCCGACAGTCATGAATCTAGGAGCTCTGTGCCAGAAAGAGGGTTCATGCCCTACACAGCGGATCAGCCCCAAATGCCTTCCGGAGAGGTGGCTCCCATCCGCCCCTCTGGGTTCTTCGCACTTTAAATGTAAATGACAAAAACCGCTGAAGAGAGAATTGAAACTAATGACCTACATTCCCAAGGGAGTCCGACAAAATATGGGACTTGGATGACCGCTTATGTATAGGAGGGAACCGGGCTTAGGCTTCTGGGGTGGGAGGGAACGACCGGGGAAGTGAATAAAGCAGGCGCGGGGCAGCGATCTCTTAGGTAGGAAGTGGTCAGGTAAGGGCGGCACTCTCTCGGAGACCCTTTCCGGTGGTTGCCCTTTACCGATGGAAATGCCTACTGGAAAAATGACAGCCTGCCAGAGCACCTGGGGGTCTGCTCCCACTAGCTCGAACTTGGACGCAGCAGCCTATTTGGGGGGAGTGGCATATTCTGATTCCCGAGAGTCAAGTTTGGGGGTACTGTGCTCTGGCACCAACGGGGGGAGGGAGGCTCGGTACGTTTGCTGGAGCGCAGAGTAAGGAGCGTCCCTAGGAAGGGGTCAGAGTTCCCTCCTCGAGTGTGGGAGATCGGCTCCCACTTTCCCCCCACCCCGCCCCAGGGCACTCTGGAGGTCAGAGCCTGACACCAGTGGCCCGGGGTGGGGGAAGGGTGCGCGGGTCTGGGGGGGTGGGTCTAGGCGGCCCTGCTCCGCATTCAGGGCCCACGGGTGTGGTGGGCTCCTGGACCTCTCGGGGGCGGCGGGTGCCACCGCGCCACTGAGGGGGGCGGCGGCGGCGGCGGCGGTCCCCAGCCCCGCGCGCTCGCGCTCGCGCTCAGGCGCGCGCGCACCCCGGACACTCACATCAGGTCGGGCCGGTGCCGGTGCAGGATGGCGCAGAAAGCCAGGCCGTCCCGGAAGGAGCTGCTCAGGTCACGGATGTCCACGCCGCGGTAACCCTCGCACTGGCGGCGGCACCAGGCCAGGAGAGCGCCCCGCGGCCCCGCCATGGTGGGGCCGGGCTCGGGACAGCCAGCCCCGACGGGGGCTGGGGA